AGTGCGCATGCACAGTCAGTGGTGGCAAACACCAGTCAGGTCATAGCAAGTATGGTTACACAAACTTATCCAGTTTTAAATCCTCTGGGTAGAGACTGGCTGACCCCTTATATGCTCATTGATGGAGATTTCCTGGGTGGTTTTCCATAATATCCTAATCCTCTCCAGGTAAAAGGCCAGTGCCCACCACACTCCCAATGAGTGAAGATGCCTCTTCTTGTTAGGGATGGATGAAGACCCTGCCACTAAAGGCTCCACATGTGCTTGTCCAAGACCCTAGCTACCAACTTGCTCTCCCATCCCACATGATCCAGGCTCCAAGTTGGCCAGTGGTACCATGGCATAACAATGTGTCTTGGTGCCATTGCATTGGCTGTGGTGCCAAAGGTGCTGGAGGTCCCACCAGAAGGGATTGGGAGTCCTGCACTGAGGAAGAACTGGAGTCATTGCACCCGCCTCTTGACAACCATAAGATCATGAATGCACAATGGGACTAGTACCAACCTCGGGACTGTGAGTCTGGCATCAAAAACTTGGACTTCACTAAGCTGGATGCCCCTGGATTGACTGTGGGTGGGGTGAGGTGGTGGCCTGTGGTAGCCTGTGGCTGGTGATCTACACCTAGCACTTCTTGAGAATAGTAGTTCTGAAGTGGAGTCGTGCCCATATCTGAGAGAGAACTTGGAAGAGGGTTATCATGGGAAGCTTTGGTGCTTGTACGGGGAAGCACTCCAATTGTGCTGAGGGCTTATGGCTCCTCTGTGCAGATGCCCTCATTTGGAATTCAATGCACTTGCCTCTGAGGATCTGCGCCCCTGCACTCTTTATCCATGCCATGAATTCCTATGACATGGGACACAACCTGATAGTATGAGAGGAGTTAGCAGTGCATTCCTGTCTCAGTGATCACAGGCCAGTGAATGGCACCTGGAACCCTCTCTCTCTGGCATCTGGTACCGATGCTGAAGGGATCCTGCAATGCCAAATGTGGGTTTTCCCTTCTATGTGGAGTCATAGAGCCCTGGGATGCCGATACTGCCAAGCACAGTATCTCCTGTGCGATCTGCACGCCTCTGAAGTGGAGAATGTGACTTGATCACCTGGATGTGACTTAGATTTTCACTGTACAGAGAGGGTGGAATAGAGTCACCTGGGGTGCGCCGCTCTGCCTGAGGCACGACCCACAAGCTCGATGGAGATTGTGAGCTACCCGATATGGGTCTGCACTTGTTTGTCACCATGTCTACTTTTTCCTGGGTGGGATAGGGCTCCCTTGTTGCCCTCCTTGGCTTCTTTTCACCAGTAATGGGTGAGTAAGAGGGTGGTGTAAGAGGGTGGTGCTGACTCCAGTTGGTGCACCAGTGCCAGAGTTAGGGCCAACTCCATGAGGAGTACTCTAAGTCAAATGTCCCACTTCTTCTTAGTTCTAGGATTAAAGGACTGGAAAATTTTGCCCCTGTCACTGATATGAGTCTCACTGAGACAGCACAGGCAACTTCTATGCTGGTAACTTCTATGCCCTAAGGCCACTGACCAGAATAGACCATTTGAACAAATCACAAGGCCTGATGATTGGAACATGCCCCAATCAGGGTTGAAGTCTCTAAGAGGACCAGGTACTTTATACTATAGGCCAGTGGTCCCCAACCTTCAGAGGCTCCCGGGCGCCCGGGAGGTGGGGCCATTCACGCGCCGGGTGCCCGGGAGGTGGGGGCCACTAACGCGCCGGGCACCCGGGGGCGGGGCCGCTCATCCGGGGGCACGCCAGGGGACTGGGATGCCCTTGCACCCGGTGCCGGCATGTGCCCTAGGGCCCAGGTTGTCGGCGGGGGGGCACCCAGGGGGGCACCGCGTTGGGGACCACGGCTATAGGCAAACTATGAAGAAGACTAACAATGGGGAGAAGGAATAGCTAAGGCTGGAGCAGAGCTGTTCCAGTGCACTGTCACTGGTGGCAAGAAGGAACTGAGGGGGGAGTAAGCATGCAGTACACTTTATACCATGCCAGTGAGACACTGCTCCAGGGTCACTAGAGGAGTTCCTTCACGGCTACTGCTAGGGGAAAAACATAGGCAAACTATGAAGAAGACTAACAATGGGGAGAAGGAATAGCTAAGGCTGGAGCAGAGCTGTTCCAGTGCACTGTCACTGGTGGCAAGAAGGAACTGAGGGGGGAGTAAGCATGCAGTACACTTTATACCATGCCAGTGAGACACTGCTCCAGGGTCACTAGAGGAGTTCCTTCACGGCTACTGCTAGGGGAAAAACATCTGGCACTGGTGCACATGGAGAGCATGTACACCTATTGTGGAATGTACATGAGCAATATTTGAAGAATAATTTTATCTTATTTTGAGTAACTGATCATTTAATGATTATGCCTCATGTTATCATTCACCATTTGTCTGCTAACACAGAGAAACTTAGAGATACTCTTGGGCAAAGAGGTTATTCTGCAAACTGCTATACTAACCCCCAATTAATTTACTTTGTATTTAAACTTCACGAGTGTTGTCCAAATGGCAAGATATTATGGCTGAGAATGGAAACTATCACCTCAGTAGACAGATAAAATAATTAACTTTTTTTCCAGCTAAAACTCTCTAGTAAGGTTATTTGCATTTAGCAGCACTGAAATTAACCTGTCTAAGGACTGACAGTGTCCCACGAGATATCACTTTTCAGATACTCACAGCCACAATCTCCATTACAGAACTAGCAAGAATAATTGCTCACAAAGCATAACAATGTAGGTCTATTAACATTTTCTTACTCCCACACTTGCCAATTCCAGTGTTACTGTTTTAGGGACCAGCTTTCAAAGGACATGTGAAAATACACTTGTTATGTAGGCACTCACCAAAACTTACATTTAAAAAATATTCATATTTCTAGAAATCCCACCTTCGGATGGGGAAAGAGACAAAGAAGTTTAGTGACTTCTTCAATGTTCAGGGCAGAAACTGTAAATGACTTCCTGATTCCTAATCCCAGGTTTGAACCATCAGATCGGACTTTTTCTCTGCTTTGAATCTTTTCACATAGTTTGTGGGTGCAATTTTTGACTTGATTATGAAAATATTTCAACATACAAATACATGCATTTTGAAAATGTGACAGGAAGAGTTTCTGCTTTTTTTCAACCTCCACTTCCACCCATTTAACTAGTGGGAAGATATTTAAAATATAACATTTGAAAATTAGGTGATCCTGCTTCTCCTGCACTGCATAAGACAATGTTTTTGAGTATTGTAAATGCTCAAATTTTTTCTAAAGAGAAAGAAACATTTTTTACAGCACAGAAACCCTTTTTGAATGAATGGTTA